ACAGTGCAAAAGTGAGTTAGCTCCAGAGAAGCCTTTCTGGCTGTTGATTGTTATCTGTGATTGGAGACAATGGCGTTTTTGATGCCTTCGAACCATGTCAGTGAAAAACATTTGCAAACTCATTGGCCAAACTAAAATACAAAAAAAAAATTTACGTTGGAAGTAGCCTAATGGCATTTGAACAGGGGGGTTTGGTAATCTATTAAAGCTGTTGAGAACAGAACACTCAGATGTTGCTGCAGCCTGCAATCATTTTCAGGAAAATACCTATCTCTCGTACACGCAGGCAACCAACTTATACTTTAAGGATCTCGTATTCCAAACTGGAGTGTGGACCTTTTTTGGCCCAGACCGAGTCTGCTTTAGCCACGTTGCCTTCTTACTTATTTTTCACTAGTTTTAACCTTCACAGGGGCAACGGTATCCAGAACAATCAAACACTAGAGGTGAACAGAGTTAAACGGGTTCATCCTACAGTTAGAATACAATGCATTCTCAAAGTTTATCATTCCCAAAAATAAATCACTCGTATTTTCATTTAAGCGCTTCTTCGAACAGTTGCAGAGTACACGAGGTGTTGTTATTAGTTAAACAAAATGTCAAAAAAAACACTAGACATGATCCGAAAGAGCAACATCGACCACGTTTTAGCTTTTGAAGTATATCACCGCCCTTTGTAACTAACAGATCTAGATGTGTGCCCACTGCTGTGGGTGGGGCGCTCTCCACGTGCTGTTGAGACCAAAGGATTCAAGTACAGAAAACTCAAGAGCCTCATATGCATTTCTGGTCATCAACATTATCCACATGAATATTACAAATCACCTGTAATAACCAAACTATAAAATCTATGCATACATCTGAAAGCAAATCGGTATAATTATCAATAAAACTGTGACATGACTGCGTAGCTTGTAGATGACAATGAAGGTATTGGAGGGGATTGTTTTTGTTGTATTTTAAAAGACACATTGGGGGAAATTGACGGACACTTCCTAGAGACATTCTATGGAGACAAAGTGGATCTCTTGAAAATGGCAATGCCTAAGCCCTCCTCCTTTTTTGTTTTCCCGTAGTTTCCCGATTCAAATATGAAGTTTGGTTGTTGAGGTAGCTTCTTTTAAAACTGAATTTCCTGAATTTTTGGTCAACGCCATGTTTTCAGCCATGAACATAAGATCAAGAATTATGAGAACAAATGAAATTATTAATTAAAAAAGACTTGTTACAAAAAGTATCTGACCATTAACATAGCAATTTTCAAGTTTCAGTATCAGCGGTTGGGTCGGCTGGATTCTTACACGAACAAGAATTAGATTTCAGATTAGACTGATTAACTCCAGATGGTCTTTCCTGTAATGTTATTCTTTGTGTTTTATCACTAAGGGAATGGCACAGTGTGGCTTCATGACAGGGCCCCAGTCGGTCCTCTCCTCTACTAACTGCCCTTGGCTGCGAGCCAGAAGACCCTGTGCAGTCCTAGTGTTTTAGAGAAAAAGGGGAAAGGAAGAGCGGGGAGGAGTAAAAAAAGTTGGAGAGGTGGGGTGCTTTTTGGTGTTGAACACATGGGGCAGGGGGGTGTAGGGTTTTTGGTGATGGTTTAGTGTCGGGGTGGCTGAGGTAGAGGTTTTGGGTATTGATCGAGGGGAAATTGTGGTGTAATGGTCCATTGAGGGTGGTTTGGTAAAAGATGTTCGTTTTGTTTGGTCTGTAAAGCTCAGCAGCTGCAGCACAGGGTAAGAACGAAGTGTGATCCTGTAGAGTCTGACTCTGGGGTTCACATGAGCTGGCCTCAGCTCTGTCTCCTTCACTTTTGTTCCAGATGCTGCTCTTCAAACCTGCTTCTCAACAGGTTTTTGTATGTGTCTATTAAGATTAACAGTTTTTGTAAAACTTTGCAACTTTTCGACAGACAAATGGTTTTTCTCCAGTGTGGATTCCTCTGATGCACTTGAGATCACCACTCTTTTTATGAACTCTGATCAACAAACCTCACAGCTGAATGGTTTTTCTCCAGTGTGGATTCTGCTGTGATTATTAGACTTCCTCTTTGGGTAAAACATGTTCCACACTGGTCACACTTGTACGCATCTCACCAGAGGGGGGGGGGGGGGGGGGGTTGACTCCGATGGTGACGTGTGCGATCGATGCTCGTTCTAATGTTTTACGCAGAGGTCACATGGAAATGTTTTTCTCCAGAGGTGGATTCTGTAGTGCGACAGTGAGGTACCAGATTATTTGTGTAAAAGTCTTCTCCACTGGTCACATTGGTGAGGGTTTCTCTCCTGTGTGGACATATAGAATGTCGATAGAGCTCGCCTTTGTCCTATAATGTTTTTCACACTACGTCACACTTAAATGGGATCTCTCCTTTGTGTATCCTCTGATGCACTTTTATATAACACTCATATGTTAAACTCTGACAACAGAAGTCACAGCTGAAGGTGTTTCTCCAGTTTGTATTTCTGTTGTGGCCCTCAGATATCTTTTATGTAGTAAAACCTGTTCCACACAGATGACACTCGTGATGGTTTTCCTCCAGTGTGAGTTCTGTAGTGTCCTCTTTAGTGCAGAAGCATAGCTGCAGGTCTTCCACACTGATCACAGGTGATCCCCATTCCGTAGATGGATTTTTTTTTCTTTGTAGATCTGCCACAACAAAGGACAAAGTCTGTTTTATTCTCCTGTTGTTCACAGTCAGGCGAGGATTATGTGTCTGTACAAAGAAAAAGTTCAGTATATATATATGTATTTATACATACTGTATATTTACATGTATAATTCTGACACAGGCTATACAAATACAGTACATTGTGAACATTGAGTTAACATAAATGTTTAAATGATTATATTCAAAGTTATATGTAATTACATTGTTTTCGCAGAGTGACTGGGACGTGTTATGGGACTGTTAATATACTCTGGTTGTTTTTTACTAAATCCAATTAGATTCATGTGTTGCTAAAAGTTGAGGATCAATGTTCTGTGTCTGAGTGAAACTGATGCAGCAGCTGCCACAGCACAGATCAAGCTGAGCAGGACAGGGCTCAGCCAATAGGAGTCAGGATGGAAGGGAGGGGGCGGGCTATCACCTCTCAGGTGAAGCTGACAATAGAAAAACTAATGTTCAATCCCCTCATTTCTTTCTTCCAGATCAGAGGAAGGCATATTGGGAGATCGCCTGATCTGATGGTAGCTCTGATTAAGTAACAATGGACATTGATTCCTGATTAATTTAAATAAGCAACAGACCAGGATGAGGTGACCAGCTGGGAAGGGATCTGGCCCCTGGGCCACTCTTTACCCAGGTCTGTTCTAGATGAAGTACCTCTCTGTGGAGGGGGAGGTTGTGAGCCCTGGTAGGGTCTCCAGTGGAAAATAGGTCCCAGGTGACGAGTCGGCAAAGTCTGGTTCACGTTGATATAAACTCAAGAACAGTGAAATCACCCAGTATGACTCAATGCCTCAATGGTCCCTGCAGCAATAACAAAACCCAGTGGTAGACACTGGTTGTAAGGGATGTCGCCAGACTGAAGAAGGAGTCCTATTGATCCTAGATGGATCAAGGGACTCCTGAGACAGCTGTCCAATAGAGCCGGAGCGTCCGTCGGCTTCAAAAAGCTTCTGGCAAAGCTCTGTTTATAGTGAAGGCGGAGAAAGATCATGACTGGGGAAGCAATACTTTCAGTTTCTCAAAGTAAAGCCAGCAGTAAGTCACACGACTCACGTGGGATAAAAGCCAAATAGACTAAGAATAGGTCTTTCAAAAATTACCAATGTATGTGTAGGGTGAGAAAATGTTGATATCACACATAACTTAAGTTATGTACCTGATATCGGAGAATTGGATAAAAACAACCATGTAATAAATACAATAATTGATAATAGCTTTATTTAGGGGCACCAGGGAATAACTCCCAACTGATAACGTGCATATGACGTCACAATATCAATTAATTGGCTCATTTATTGATTAAGTAATCTCATGAGTCCTTTTATTATTTAATTAGCTAATTAGTCCAATTCTCTTCAATAGAATCTGAAGGTAGTGAATTCTTTTACAAATCAGTGACCCAATTTCTGGAGTTAAAAGTACAAATATCACTTTCAGACAAAGATGGTTTTGTAGATTTAATGAAGTATACACAATACAGACTAGATATGAAATATGCAAATTGTCAAGAATAACATGAAGGAAACGTTGATTTCAAGATACATTGTTAAAATGCTAGGCTAAAGTGAGCTAAGCAAGACCTTTGTCTATGAATGGATTGGTATAGGCTGAGGCCTGCATGTGTTCAGCCTTGGTAAGAGAAGTATTCTTTGAAGTATAGGTTTTAATAAAGCCAACAGCTGTGTGTAGCAAGAGAGCAGATCATACAACCAGAATAGCCTTGGGTGAATAGCAGTCCTTGGGTCTGATGGTGGTGGATGGAGGCTTCTTGTCCACAGGGCCTGGACCATGCGGCTGCATCATGTGGCTGAACCAAGTCCTCCCACGATCCACAGTCTAGGTGCCAAAACTCAGCAACTTCTTCAGGTTGAAGCTGGAGGCTATTGAAGGGTTGTGGAAGTCCTCTCAAACGTGGAGCTGAGGTTTGAGGCCATCTAAGAGGCCCAAAGCCCCTTGGTTGCCTGAGCAGAGCCCAGGGCAGAGCCCAGGGAGGTCTGGTCACTCCGTGGTTCCAAAGCAGACTGGTTTGTCTTCCCTTGTTGTAGAGTCGTTGGGGGAAGGGTGTTGCCATGGCACTTATCTCAAGACATTCTTGCCCACAATAAAACCTGAACCACAAGGATTTACACACAGTGGAGACAGAAGTTATAATATGTCTCAATATACAACAAAATGTCTTTGATTGAGGAAAGAGGTCATTTTAATTTATCCTACATATGTATAAACAACTCTGATAAGTTCTCTCTCTTACAGGCAGCTGCACACGCCCACTAACCTGCTGCTGCTGTCTCTGACCGTGTCTAACCTGCTGGTGGGGCTGGTGCTGATGCCAGGAGAGCTGCTGAGGGAATCCAGCTGTTGGATGATGGGGGAGCTGATGTGTGCCCTGTATCTGTACGTGGCCTATGTATCAGTATCCGCCTCCGTCATCGACATGGTGCTGATCTCTGTGGACCGCTATATGGCCATCTGTGACCCGCTGCACTACAGTGGCCGCGTCACCATGCAGCGTGTATCGGTGGGTGTGGCTGGTGCTTGGGCCTTCTCTCTGCTGTACTGTGCACTCATCCTCAGAGACAACCTGCTGCACCCAGAGCAAACGCACACCTGTCTGGGAGAGTGCCTGCTGGTCTTTGACTTTGTGTCTGCTGCTGTGGATATGTTTGTAGGCTTCATCCTGCCAGTGGGTGCTATACTCATCATAAACCTGATCGTGCTGGTGGTGGCGCTGGCGCAGACACGCGCCATGCACACTCAGGTTAACCACTCATCACAGCGCGTGCCTAAGAAGTCCCAGCTGAAGGCCGCACGCAGCCCTGGGGGTGCTGGTGGGCATCTTCCTGGTGTGTTTCACTCCGTACCAATGCTTCAGCCTCGTGGGGGGTGACCTGCTGAACAGCCCTGCCGCCTCCTTCCTGATCTTCTTGGTTTATGTGAACTCTTGTCTGAATCCACTGGTGTATGCGCTCTTCTACCCCTGGTTCAGGAGAGCTGTGCGCCTCATTGTCACACTGCGCATCCTCCAGGTCGACTCCTGCCAGACCAACGTAAGCTGAGCCCGTGTCTTGAATAAGTATTCATACATTTGGTCCACAAAGATATTTAAAATTTGTATAAGACTAAAACAAAATGGCGGAAAATGTTATAACATTTTTTTTAATCATTAATTTCAAATGTAATGTCATTTACTGAAGTTGGTGTAAATCACCGGTCCGCCCCCACAGACCGGCTCCACTCAGGCGAATGATGACAGCCGCTGTGCCCAGCTGAAGCACCTAACTTTTTTTTACATTAATACATTTACATTACATACATAATACATGAATACATCAAATAAAACGTGCATTTGAAAACTAATGATAGAAGCCAACTATTCTGAGACAATGAGAAATGCTGTTTTTGTGGAGAATTATGTTGTTATTGTTATACATCCTTCTCATATTGTGATATATTTTTGCCATATCGCCCAATCCTAATGCCCACAATGCAAACTGACATAGGAATGATTTACAAATGAAAACAGTATCTCATCTAAGGCTAGCTTTCACCATTAAACTGATACAATCCCCCGATAGCTTAAGGAGCAGTTCTCTGGCATTTTATTCTATTGTTTCTTTCTTGTGTGACTGTTTGTATCTTGTATTGTTAAGCACTGTGAGTTGCCTTGTGTATAAGCTGTGCTACAAATAAACTTGCCTTGCCTTGTCCTAAGAATGTTGCCTTCCAGGTGAAAAAGGTGGCAGATTATGCCTGTCTCAGCTTGGGTCCTCTACCAGAGGCCTGGGAGCATGAGGGTTCTGCGCAGTATCTTTTCTGTTCCTAGCACTACACATTTCTGGACCGAGATTTCCGAGGTTACTCCAGGGATCTCCAGACCCTCTCCTCTCACTACTGTCACCTTTACTTTCATGTCCACCACCACCATGTCAGGTTGGTCGCCATTACCATTTGGTCAGTCTGTATCTGGAAGTCCCACAAGATTTTTTCACGCTCAATATCTACCATCTTTGGTGGAGTTTGCCATTTAGACCTTGGGGTTTCCAGCCCAAACTATAAACTAGGGGTAGATGGATAGATAGATACTTTATTGATCCCCTGTAGGAGAAATTCAGGTGTCCAGCAGCAGAAGACTCATCCAGGTTTGTTGTGCAGTCTGACAGCCGAAGGAAGTTCGGAACAAAGGAGCCTGTTGCTTCGATTGCTCCTCTGAGCGGCCATAGTGTCATGCAGAGTGTGTCTGGAGTTACCCAGGATGCACTGCATTAGAGCCCTCATCCTTCTCTCCAGCACAGCTCCCAGAGTCCACACTTCTCCCCATCACAGAGACACATTTCCTGATCAGCCTGACGAGCCGGTTACTGTCTCTGGAGGTCAGACTGCCGCCCCAACACGCAACCCCAAAGAACACGGCACTAGCTACAACAGACTGGTAAAAAATGTGCAACATTTGACTACTCACATTAAAGGACCTCAGTCTACTCAGAAAGAAAAGTCTGCTCTGACCTTTCTTGTAGATGACATTGGCCTGAGCTGACCAGTCCAGTCTGAGGTCCAGGTGGACTCCCTGATATTTATAGTGAACCACTTCAATGTCCTGTCCATTTTCTGTGACCGGTCGACGGGAAGGGCTCCTGTGAAAGTTGATGATCATCTCCTTGGTCTTGGACGCATTGAGAATCAGTCCATTTCTCTCACTTCAGTCTGAGAAGGCAGCCACCACCTCCCTGTTCTCTGCTTCATCCCCCCTTCACACATGCCACAACAGCAGTATTGTCTGAGTATTTTTGTACATGGCATGTAGCAGAGTTGTGTGCAAAGTCTGCAGTGTAAATTGTGAAGAGGAAGGGAGCTAGAACGGTACCCTGTGGTGCTCCAGTATTGCTTACAACAGTCCCAGACACACTCTTCCCTAACCTGACATACTGTACCCTCACAGTGAGGTCATTGTAAGTCCAGTTGGTAAAGATGGTTGGTAACTATAAAGGTACAAGCAGCTCTTTATCTGTATTTCAAACATTATATTTTAAACACATCTCAGCTTTCTTCTTACTCTGTAAAACAATTCAAAGCTTTACAGGAGGTTAATTATTTTCTGTTTATTAAGAAACAATGAAACAATGCGCTCCAAGGCGCACAGGTTCGTAAATCATAATTAAGAGGCCTTGAGACGGAAGTTTAGAGGTAAACAAAGAGGCGCCCTCTACTGGACAGATTTAAAGAGGCCAAGTCAAGCTTGCCACAAATAAAATTGAGCACAATTTATAAACAGTGACAAAAGCAGGATTGGTCAACATCTTTCTGGAGTCCCATCCATTATTACTCCCAGATTTCTGACCTTATTTAAAGGCCTTAGGGAGAGAGACTGAAGGTGACAAATGACGGTCTCTCTTTGTTTCTCGGGACCAAAGACAATCATTTCGGTTTTGTCCGCATTTAGCTGGAGAAAATTGCATTGCATCCACTCACTGATCCGCTGGATACAGCGAAGGAGTGAGTCCACTGGTCCATGTTCTCCTGCAGTCAGTGAGACATAGATCTGAGTGTCATCAGCGTAATTGTGGTAGGACACTTTCATACTTTGAATTAACTGACCTAATGGCAGCATGTAAATATTGAACAGGAGAGGTCCCAGAATCGACCCCTGTGGCACTCCGCAGGTCAGGGCCATATTATCTGAGACATAGTCTCCAATCTCCACACAATACTTCCTTTCTTCTACAGTAGGTCCCATTTCGTTTTGTCGCGTTTCACGCGTGAATCACACGAGACTCACGTGTGATTCACGCGTCTTTTATTTATTTTTTTCCCCAGTGATGCTGCAATGACCCAAACAACCACCAGGTGGCACTTGTGAGCAGGGTTAGGAAAATTGGCTTCTCATCGGTCTTTGTTCTCTGTTCACGGGACAACTTTCTGTAGCTTTATAGCTCAATGATAAGGAGATGGACTCTGGTGTGAGAGGACCCGGGTTCAAGTCCAGGCTATGACACTTTTGATTTTTTTGACGTTTACATGTTTTCTAAAACATACTTAGTAATTAGGCCAACACATTTAAAATATTTGCTAGACGGTAGTAAACTTCACAATCTGCACCAACCAAACTGCAGGAAAAAAATGCAACTTTATTCAGTAACGGAGTAATCTGATTCATATACTCCCCCCGCTAATAAAAAATTGAGGATTGGCCGGGGCTTGAACCCCGAATGTCCACGGGAAAGTCTTGTACAATCCCGCTACACCACACAGGCGCTGGAGAAAACACTGGATCTAATAGTAAAGACCGCTGAGTAAATGAGCAGTGCGGATGTGCGGGACGCTTAAAATGCCTCCCACTCAGAAAAAAAGCAGACGCCTTTTCTCTGGCATCTCTAACATTTATAATAAATACATAAATATAACAATCATAATGAAGATGCTTTCAAATAATTTAGCAAGCTGAAATTCATTTATTTCAACTGCCAAACTTCTCTCGCTGCTCCTCTCCTCTCCTCCGCAAATCACTAAATGAGGAAAAGGGAATATTCACTCAATCTATTTTGAATGTTACACATACAATATTAATATAGTCTAAGCACGTGTACCACATGTAGCCCGTGTATTTACCACAGACTGTAAGTATTAAAGTAATGAGGCCCCTGCTTTAGGCCTCTGCTGTGAGGCCCACAGTCATCAGTCTCGGTGCCTCTGTGTAGATCACACGTCTGTCCTCGGGCTGGAGTGTTCTGAGGCTTTAAGCGGGGAGTCAGGAAGGAGCGATCCTGTTTGTCAGCATGATTTTTTTGTTTAACAGCCTCCCTGCGCGATTGCAAATGTACTCAAGGGACTCCCATACCGTGGCTCACATATATTATATTATATAGGGATCAGGAGCTTTCTGACCCGACCCACCCGCACCTGACATGACTCATATTTTTGAGGCATCCAACCCGCCCGAAACCGCGGGACCCGCGGGTTGACTGCGGGTTTCGGGCCGACTCGCGCACCTCGCATGTCCTGTTCAGGGCTGCAGGAGCAATTGTCCATTATTTTAATTGGACTTCTGGTCCATGCACACTGTAAAAAAGATAAAGTTAGTTCAACTCAAAATTTCAAAGCAACCAGCTGCGAAGGATTTTTGAGTTGAAGGCATTAACTTAATTCTTCAAGTTTTGAAGAACTACACTTATTAAGTTGTGTCAGTTAAGTTTTCCAAGTTCTGCCAACTAAGTGTTTAAATTCAAGTTACTGGAAATTTCAAGTCTGTAAAAACTTACTTTTTTAAGTTCAGATTACTGTCGCGAGCAGAGAGAGAGAGAGAGAGGTGAGCAGAGAGAGAGAGACGCGAGCAGAGAGAGACGTGAGCAGAGAGAGAGAGACGTGAGCAGAGAGAGAGAGAGAGAGGTGAGCAGAGAGAGACGTGAGCAGAGAGAGAGAGACGCGAGCAGAGAGAGAGAGCAGAGAGAGAGAGACGCGAGCAGAGAGAGACGTGAGCAGAGAGAGAGAGACGTGAGCAGAGAGAGAGAGACGTGAGCAGAGAGAGAGAGACGTGAGCAGAGAGAGACGTGAGCAGAGAGAGACGCGAGCAGAGAGAGACGCGAGCAGAGAGAGAGAGACGTGAGCAGAGAGAGAGAGACGTGAGCTGAAAGAGAGAGACGCGAGCAGAGAGAGAGAGGCGTGAGCAGAGAGAGAGAGAGAGAGGTGAGCAGAGAGAGAGAGGTGAGCAGAGAGAGACGTGAGCAGAGAGAGACGTGAGCAGAGAGAGAGAGACGTGAGCAGAAAGAGAGAGACGTGAGCAGAGAGAGACGCGAGCAGAGAGAGAGAGACGTGAGCAGAAAGAGAGAGACGCGAGCAGAGAGAGAGAGGCGTGAGCAGAGAGAGAGAGAGAGAGGTGAGCAGAGAGAGACGTGA